AAAAAAAAAAAAAAAAGGGGACTTTTTACCCCCTTTAAAAAAAAAAAAAAAAAAAAAAAAAATAGCTAACTGAAAGCAACATATATATGAAGAGAAGAATAATATTACACTGGAGAAAAAGACAAAGCAGAAACAAGTTGCAGTTATGGATGTTTCGGTACGAATGGAATGGAAACATCTCGTTCGTTCACCGAATAGCTCCCTCTACTGCCGCCTGATTTGTCCACCAAGTTGTTCATTCATATGGTAGAAGAAAAAAATGCAAAGCTGAATTGCGTATATGCTCAAAAACGCTATTCCCACCCCGTCAGAGAGAGGAGACTGTTTGCACCACTTTTGTGTGTTTTGCATGGCAGCCCATGCATTTGTGCATACAAACATATTTTCGTACCAAATTAAAACGAATGCTATAATGAACAGTAGGAGGAATGATGTATGAAGCTGTGTGAATGCGTTGTGCGTATTTTTCTGTCCTTGTGCATGCTCCCATGCTTGCACCTGTACATGCACTACCTTCGCATGAGCGCCGCACTATCCGGGAGAGTCTCATGCACACACTCGGTCTTTTTTTTTTTCGACTGGCAATTTTGGGCAAGTGATGTGAATGCATTGCCGTCTCAAGACCAATGTGTTAATATCATTCGCCTTAAAATGGTCAGCCAGAAATTGTATGCATGTGTACTTCTCGTACATTTGTGTACATTTCGTGAAATACCGCAGTGTGCTTGTGATTTCCACGCCCCGTACACAGTATAGTGCCGTACACATATTTTGTGTACTTTTTCATGTTTTTTTTTTCTTTTTTTTTTTTAAGTTTAGTTAAATTTGAATAAACAACTTTACGAAGGCTTCACTAGAAGCCATTCCCTTTTTAACCCCTTCGTTTTTCGACAAGGAAAAATTGACATGCTCGCGAGGAATTGTAGATGTGTGCACATGTTTTTGCGTGTCCTAATTGGACCGCTTCGATTATTACGTTTGGAAAAATGGAGCAGGTGATGAAGTAGTACTAAATGCGTAGCGAAGCAACCCACGCAGCCGTTCATGTGTGTGCAACCTTTCGCATTCGAATGGATACGAGTGGGCGTAATTTGCCGCCTCGGTATTAGAATCATCTTAGGGTTCCTTTCCCAACGGGGTTGCAATGGTGTGATACCCTTTTCTACAAACCCTTGTACAAATGATAACGGCCCAAATGGGAATCTTCCCCTAACGTATATATTCTAAGCCCACTGTAACCTCAAATTGAGCTACTTCCCCTTCCAAAAGGGGGGGGTGGCCCCCTCGTCCTATCTCTCTATCATCTGAGGTCATCTTGAATGTGCAATATCCTTCGCATGAAATATGACTAGCGATTTCTGTACAGGCAAAAACGATTCGTTAGTTATGATATTCAAACAATGTCATATGTAACAATGTAATTAGGTATTGCCATCTGTGGTTTTTAGATGCACATGTGCGGTCGCCCTACATATGCAACCATGTTAAGACATACCTCACTCTTTGCCAGTAGGGCTGTTCCGTGGCAGTTCCACTCCGCCTCCTTGCATGTGAACCCTGAAGAGGGAAGCGGCGTCGGTTAGAAGGGAACACGTGAAAGTGATACGTGGGACAGCTTCGGGGAAGTGACTCAGGTGATCAGTACTCTCTTGTCGCTACTCGCTTGTAGCTTCTGGGAAGGTTACCCTACTCCACCTACCGTAAGGCATTTCCATTATAGCGCACTCGTTCGGAAGCCACACAAACAAGTGAGGTGAATTCGTACAAATGAGCAATCTGCGTGGTTTAACGAGTATCCTCATGGGTTGCCAGTTTTAGAAGCAATCTGTTGACTTAATTTCATTACAAAATTGCGCCAAAAAAAAAAAAAAAAGAGGTACACTTTTACCTTGGCTTGTACAGAATATGATCCCAACGTAAGTAGGTTATTTTTTTTTTCTGTTGCAATATGGCTACACAAGTATAATTCTCCGTTGTGTAAATCCGGACGACGTTGTTGTGGCTCGCTGGAAGAGTTGCATGCACGTGGGGGGAGGGAGTCACAGCATTTGTCGGAGTAACCGCTTGGTGACCATTCTATTTATTTTCTCTCACTGGACGTTGCAGACACGTGATCATAAAGGGGCACACTTCCAACAGTAGGAGTACATCCCAATTGGAGGCATACTCTCATCACACAGGACAACCACCACCCCTTTTTGAGCGACGATCTGGACATACCACTTATGATAGACATGAAGGTCCCACACAAACTGAAAGATAAAAAGTTGATCCCCACTGGAGACAATACATCTGTTATCCCCTTCAAAACAGACTCAGCTCCTTTTTCCTGTAAAGCGGGGATAAGGTCATTCCATTTTGGACATGGCACTTTCGACTCGCTGCATATTTCATTAGCAGACTTTGCGTCGTCACAAACACTGCGTATCCCATGTGCATACAACATGACAATATTTGCCTCATAGCGTGAAAAAAAAAAAAAAAACAAAAACAAAAAGGCACATGACAGAGGGGCACCTTTTCACACTTGACCAGTTTGTATTCCCCTTCCTTAACGCCTTCCGAGACTGTTGTAAAGAGCATGGGTATCCATACGTATGTTAATCAGTACAAATAGGCAACATGGTCGAACAAAAAAAAATATATATAAAACACAATTACGTGGCACATTTATCCCTATTAATGTATGTCCACTCATTAAACACCCTCTTACCGTTGCTGTAAAAGCAAAAGTTTGCCTTCCTCTCCTTCTGGTGGTTTGCGCTGTGGACAGAGGCAATTAGCAAATACGGTACACATGTGAGTATGGACAATCTGCGTTTGGCGTGCACAGGGGGGGAGGGCTCATCCTTGTGGACGCCAGCACGCAAACGTGATCACAACTGTGTGAGGCATTCTACTCGCTTGTTGTACATAAGACTAGGTGAACATTTTTTTTTTTTTTCCTTATAAGAAAGTACATCTTCATTTCGTAGCAACAGCAGCATAGTTTACAAATGTGCATGTACTTCTTTGCACCTCCCCCCCCTTTGTGGATGCTTCACTTCTACACACAAACATGTAAACCAACCCAGTAGGTAGAACCCCTTGTAGGAAGATCCTCGTGGAGGTATTTTCTTTATATATTTTCTATCATGTGAAAAGGAATGCATTGGTAGAAAACGTTTTTATCTTTAGGGGCCGTTGTACAGGTGCCACCCAAATGTTCATCCCCCATTACGCATGGCACTCCAATCATAGTCGTTCCATCAGATGTACCATTTGCTCGTTCATTATGACCATGTCGCTTAAAATTATTTTTTTTATTTCTTTCAGGTTATCCAGGTGTAGAATTGTAACCTGCGTGAGGAGTCCATAGACGACGTTGTGCATATCGCGCATGAGGTGTGAATTCCACACCCCCCCTGGCCTGCAGACCGTGTGGAAGGACATTCACTCGCGCCTCAATCAATCACACAGTTGTGCTTTTTTTTAGCTGCATCCATCACGCCTTACAACTTCGTCTTCCATTCCAAGTGAGAGGACATTCCGCTGCTTATTGTTCGACGCGAGAGTTACACCTGTGGTGTAACGATTTGGTGGTATGTCCATCACAAGGTGGTGCCCCTACACATACACATATGTGTGTGTGCATTCCGCTACCGAGCATCCACCACGCATCGCCATGTGCGAGGAAATTATTTGCCACTGCCTGCGTCCCTGCCCTTACATGCCAAGTTCGCCCCGAAGTTATAAACATAGAGTAGGTCTCCACTCAACTTGTACACATGCACCGATTTGTACTTATTACTATACGCGATGATGTTATTCAGTGTCGAGAAGAATATTTCACTAGGAATAAAGTTAGTGCAGATTATTTCGTTTATTATTTTATAACTCTGCAAACAGAGCAACGCTATTTTGTTTTGCTTGTTCGTTTCAGTTAGGCAGCCAAGGGTGTCATGTCCTGCGTTCAGACAATACGCTTTTTTCTTTTTCGACTTCACATGTTGGATGGTGATTAGAGAATGCTCCGCGTCGTTCACGTCGTTCGCGTCGTAGATGCTAATGCATTTCTGAGAAGGGGGGGGGGGAACATAAGGACAAAAATGGGGGCAGTGATACGGCGCATTCATGCAGGGCACCACATACATATATGCTTTGCTCATGAATGAGACCAAAGGGGGAAGACCCATTCACCAATATGCACATTTAAGGACAGATCGGTAAGTGAACTTTGGGGTTCCCCTTTCTTTTTAATGTCTCCTAACCCGCTCGTACTTCTGAATGCATATGTTCGTCCCCTGGCCCAGAAAAAAGGAACAGACGTAGGATTGGAAAGCGTCCTGTATAATCCTAACGACGTGACTACTATAGAGCGAGTAGACGCAGACGCACCCCTGCTCCTTTGCTAATATTAAAAAATGAATGTGATCTTCTGAAAATTCAATCGAGTCAATTCTGTAGCTGTTCACATATATCCGATTTAGCTGAAGCGACACAGATTCGATTAAAAATATTTTATTTGCAATTGCGTAGAGTAAGAACAAGCCATCTTTGGAGAAACAACACAAGTCGCACTTGAGCACTATGGACTTCATCATCCTCCCGCCTCTCCACTTCGTTCATGGAGCATGTTCATCGAGCATGTTCATTGAGCGTGTTCATCGAGTGCGTTCATCGCCAGACATGTCCCCTGCGGGTGCGAAGCAGTTTGTGCTGATCCCCTATCTCTCATGTGGGCACCCCAACATGGTACACACTCGAGAGCAGATGGATCGAATAACTAAACGGCAATGTTTTTTTTTTTTTTTTTTTTTTCCTTTATGAATTGTCACCACGTTTTTCCCTTTTACGCAACAAAAAGTATCGCTAGCCAAGCGCGGTACACACACACATTAGTCAGTCACATTTCCGGGACGGGGGGATGGAGAGTGTTTTAAAAGGTACCGAACGTTAACACGAACATGATGGCTGGAGAAGACGTGAAAGTCGATGTATCCTTGCGCGCGTCTCACCAAATTAACGCGAACAGTCACACCAGGAGTAGTAACCTGGATGGGGAAAACTTACATATTCGAAAAAAGTAAAACAAAAAGGACAAAAAGACAGATGTGTACGGTAGGCGCTTCAAATGAACAATCCCTTGTGATAATCACACAAGGTTAAAATTAAAAAAAAAAAAAAAAAAAAAAAAAAAAAAAAACTTAAAAAAGCACAGGGGAGCAATGGCAAGGGGGCCAATACGAACAAGAGGGAAATAATTCCCACAGGGAAAAATACGACAAACGAAAAATATTCTCCACACGACAAAGGTAAACACACACACACATCGTGCTGAAACACTGGTGACCAAGTAAAAAAAAAAATGTAGGAGAGCTATTAAAAAAACACATTTTGCGACGGTCGAGGACGGTCAAACAGACCTCTCTCGCCCAATCACACAAGACCAGCACAGTTCAATGCGATCCACAGTGTGGATAGCCCAAATAGCTTATCTTCCGCACAAGGATGCATAAACACACAACATGATAAACATGATATCTTGAGGTGGAGCTAAAGGCGCAAATGATTCAAGACAAGGCAACAATCTCAACTTCATTGTCCAATCGGAGGGGAGACACAGGAAAGGAGGCTCCCTAGTCAACCGTCGATGCGCAGCTATTCTTGGTGTCATCAAAGAAGTAGTGCTTCATTTTGCCCACTTTCCTTTTACTAAAAGGGGGGGAAAAAAAAAAAAATAATAAGCGGTGGAGGAATTATATCGTCGGTACATGTGAGGAAGGGGAAATGCACAGCGGAGGGGGGGGCAGCAGTCAAAAACAATACTGCCACGGAGAACTTCTCCAAAGCTCATGCTTCGCTCTGGCGTTAGCGCCAAGGCAAAAAGCCTCCGCTCCGCTTCGCTGCGCTACGCTCCCGTCGTACTTGGTGAAGAGCATGCGCACTATGGTGTAGACACTGAGGATAACGCAGAGGACTATGAAGAAGAGCATGAGTATGTCGAAGAGCTCGTTGACCTGTATGGTGAGTTTGGTTGTTCCGCTTGAGATGATGAAGTCCTTGTTTCGAACCACATGGTAGGTACGCTGGATGAAGTGCCTGTTCTCTATGAAGGAGATCAGCAGGGCGTTTTCAAAATGGTAAAAGTGCTTAAAGTAGGAACAACCGATAATATTCTCCTCTGCACTTGTGATGTGCTTCAAATACTTGTAGAGCAACTTCCATTCGTATGTGGTCTGCACGATGTAGCAGTTAATATGCCCAAGGTACTCCTCACTAGTGTTCTTAACAGAGTCCATAATTTTCCTGTTGTAATTTCCATCCTTATCCTTATACAACTTCCAGAGCTTTGTCTTGGTAGTGATAAAAACGATACCCAGGTCATCACTTTGTACAGTAGAGAGGTAGACTTTGGGTTCAATGTCTGAGGAAACATTTTCATATGGAATGAAAGATATTTGTTTACAGTGCACTTGGTATGCCTTGAGTCCACATCTGAAGAGGTGAATTAACTGTTTCCCTTTATCAAAGGATATGTAATAGAATCCAACTTCATTCTGGTGATCTTCAAACAGAATCAAATCTAGCATGTTCTTAACTCTAAAATAAATGTACGTAGTAAAGTCTTTCAAAATGGACACATAATCATTACCATGGTAATGCATAGCTATGTACCTACCTAGGGAAGATAAATTTTTGACTTGAGATTTTTTAATCTGTTTGATGGAGCTATCTTTATACAAAGGCATTTCATAAACGTAATGATCATTCTTGTAGCAATTGTTAAATTCTGTCTCATTAAAAAAAACCTTGTGACATTTATCGAAGCAATTTTTAGTCAAATTTTTATTTGTGTGTTTCCACAGTATGATGTTATCCCCCAGATGGTCTTTATACTGAGGTGTAGTGTTGTACAGGAAATTATTATTTGACTTCACCTGGTCGTCAGTGTAAGTTAAGTATTTATCCTCCAGATGCTTCTTCTCCTTCTTCTTCAACAGTTTAAACATGTGATACTTAAAATTACATGCAATCGTTTTGTTGTATATATAGTAGGCTACATTGATTTTATCAAATTCTAATTTCACTAACATGTTAAAATAGCTAGCTATTTTTTTTAAGAGAAGGTTGTTGTCTTTGCTCATGTAAGTTAGGCTTAATTCGAATTGCTTATTGTACTGTTCGTCTTTAAGGAAAATTGCCTTTAGTTCGTTGTTTTTCTTTCTGGAAGGGTAACAGAGGAGTTTCTTAGGCATGAACATGGGGTTACCACGACTAAGGTCACATATAGCAGCACGCTTCACAAAGTCTTCGTCAAAATCATCATAATCATCATTGTCCAGTGGTCTATTATAACCAAGCTGTCCATGATCATCATCATAGGGATCTTCCGCCTCATCAAAATCATCATCATCAAAACCATAGTTACTAAACTTTTTGATGTAAAAAGGATTATTTTTTACATACAAGTCATTTTTTCTGTCCATGTACTTCATCCCAGACTCACTATAAAATAAATCATTTATTTTGCAAATGATGCCCTTCTTGTTGTTCTTCAACAAAATCAGGTCACCATCATTGTACCCAAACACGAAATGGATATTTGTTGGAATGCGATACTTAAAGTAATTTATGACTTTGGTAAAACTTTTGTAAAAATAAATGTTGTCTCCTATATCTAATTCTCCTATGTCTGCATTCTTCACATAATAATTATCGTCATTTTCGTTCAGGAAAATATATTGGAAATTCTTCAGTTCGTTTTTAAATCCATTTACATTTGTGTATGTGATGGTGACTTGCTTCGCCTCCGTATTCCCTGCGGCGAATACCGCGCGCTCTAGCAGGCACACCGCCGTCACCAGACTGTACAACTTGCGCACGACTGTCATTGGAGCGGGGAGAACAAGAGCAAAAAAAAAAAAAAAAAAAACAAGTGGCACGCATAAACAGGCCACAACGGAGTTGAACAATTTGTCGCTACGGTGGGCTTCACCAAAAGAAGGGATGAAAAAAACACCTCTTTTAACCAATTATTGAAACCCCGACTCACACATGCACCCTCGCAGTGAGGTGTGTGTGTGTGTGCCAGATCAATGATTTACAACTAGGGTATTATTTTCCAATTTTGCACGTCTCAACCCTGTTCGCTCACTCATTTGCTAACTTTCGCAATGAGGGAGGAAAAAAAAAAAAAAAAAAAAAAAGGGGGAAATGTCACCTGGAGAGAGGGGAATACCCAAACGTGTACTTGCGCTTGTGCATAAATTGCCCTGCCATTCGAACTTAAACAAAAAGTGCGCTCAAAATTGCTCACTCTCAAAGTACACCTCTCTCACCTAGTGCACCCAACACGTGCGCTGCCAATTGTTCGCACAAAGTGAAAGACGCATGTTTCAACCGGTAGCCGAAATCTGTATACCCCCGTGAGTGAAATTGTTCGTTCAACCTGTTTCGATCCGCCCCTCAGCTCAAGTCGGAAAAAAAAACAAAAAAATCGCCTCCGAGTAAAACTCTCCTCTGAAAGGATCTCGCACCTCGTCTCGTCTCGTCGCCCTTCCTCACAATCAGCACATACATGTTTTGTGCATTCCCGGCTAGCTGCACGCGTTATGCCCCTTTGCAACTTTTTAAAAACATATAACTGTGTAGTCATATGTTACCCGTTCGTAATGCAACATGTGAGGTTCTCACACGCAGTGAGTGTGCCTTTCACCATGCGCAGAATTGGAACCGACTTTCTCCCCACAAGCAACCCTTTTTAATTTAATTTATTTTTTTTTTTTCTATCATTTCAGACACCATCTTGAAATAAACATTTATTAATAGGAAAAAATAAAAATTATAAAAAGATTGTATAAGTTTGCCCCATTTTACATTCAGCAGTTCTTGCGCACTGACACTTTCTTCCTTTTTATCTCATCTCATTTTCAGATACGAGGTAAAAAGAAAAAAAAAAAAAAAAAAAAAAAAAAAACGAAAAACAAAAATTTTTTAAATTACGAAAATGTGTCCGTGTCATTTGTAACATGGAAATAAAAATTGTTTTAAAACATACGTAGCACATTTTCTCGGTGGATAACTTTTCATTCATTCATTCCCTTTTTTTTTTTTTTTTTTTTTTTAAACAGATTTGGTGCGTACATTTTTTGTCTACTACAATGTATATCGTATTTTTTTTCTTTTTTTTTTTTTTTTTTCCTCTTGTTTTCGTAACAACTCTCTCCGTTCATGCACATGCCGAAAGTGTTTCCTAATCGTGTAACAAATTCCACAATGCATAGTTGCAGATTTGAAAAACAGGGCGTACTTTTTATATACGTTTGTGTGGGAGGGTTAAAGCTGTTCAACTTTTCATTCCCCCACTAGCACTAGGGATGCAACATCTTTGTCTGTCGTTCGCAGCGTAGCTAACTGTTCTTAGCATAAAAGTGCAGGCGTATAACATTTGTTAACCCTAACGCAGCCGCCTAGTTATTCTGTGCTTTCAGCTTGTTCCTTCTCTCCTCAATGATGTCCAACTTGATTCCCTTCTCACGGGGTAAACTAATATACGCCTTCGAATTGTCCCCAATAACAAACACGTTGCTTAAACGAGTGGCAAATATTTTTCCCCTGGAGTCCTTCACGTGGATAATATCATACGTTCCTATGTTCTTATCAATGGAGGAAACCATACCAACTCTTCCAACACTGTGTCCAGCTGTGACCATAACCATACTGCCGATTTGGAATTTCAAATGTTCCAGCACTTTTCCGCTTTCTAAGTCTAATCGAACAGTATCGTTGACCTTAACGTCTGGGTGGACATATGGAATGCTCCTACCATCATGGGTAACGGCAATGGATAATCGTCCTTTTCTCAGAATTATTTTTTTCACCTTGCACAATTTATATTTGCTCTCTTCATTGGTAATTCGGTGGGGGACAAATCTTCCTTTAATGTCGTACAGGAGCCTAAAATATTCGTTCGACTTGGTTATATGAATAACGTCCATAAGACCAACAGGGAATGTGCAATCGGTTCTTATCTTGTTGTCCACCTTAACAATTTTCTGGATTAATATCATTTTCACTTCGTCAAACGTTAAGGCATACTTCAGTCGGTTTCGTAACAGAATTACCAGGGGGATACTTTCGATAAGCCTGTGGGGTCCGCTACTCGTTTTGGGTGCATACTGGCCACCCATTTTGTTCAACATCCAATGCGAGGGCGCATTGACTCTCTTCATGTGCTTCTTTATTCCTTTACCCTGATGGAGGGAGAGCAAACACGGGAAATGACAGATAAATGTGTTGGTGAAGCGGAAACGGTGATCAAAATGGTGACCAAAAAAATATGAACAGTTCATATTTTTACATTCGCACACATGAAAAAAAAAAAAAAAAAAAGCTATCTGTATAGGAAACTCTCAAAAAAATATGAACATCGATAAAAAAAAAAAAAAAGTGCACACATATTTTGGAAAAAGCACGACAGAACAGTTTTGTACGCGGCTTGCGGGTAGACAAACATATGGGGGCCAAGAATGTTCGCCATCTCCCTTTTTAAAATTACACAGGAGAGTGGCAACCTTTCCGCATGTAGATCGAACAAGGGCACGTTTTATGGGAAGTCACCTCTCCATCAATTCGAAAAATATGGCACGGAAGCACAATATAACGTAATAGCAGCCCATTGAGGCCCATTTAGCCCATTTGGCCCATTTGACCCATTTAACCGAGGCTCACAGGCTTCGTAAAATATGTACTAACATTAGCATACACGTGGGTAGATATGCAAACAGGTATACTCAAGTATGCAGTTTCAAGGGCATCTACGCGTAGAGGCAAATGCCCGTGGTACAAACGGGGAATGTGCAATCGGTTCTTATCTTGTTGTCCACCTTAACAATTTTCTGGATTAATATCATTTTCACTTCGTCAAACGTTAAGGCATACTTCAGTCGGTTTCGTAACAGAATTACCAGGGGGATACTTTCGATAAGCCTGTGGGGTCCGCTACTCGTTTTGGGTGCATACTGGCCACCCATTTTGTTCAACATCCAATGCGAGGGCGCATTGACTCTCTTCATGTGCTTCTTTATTCCTTTACCCTGATGGAGGGAGAGCAAACACGGGAAATGACAGATAAATGTGTTGGTGAAGCGGAAACGGTGATCAAAATGGTGACCAAAAAAATATGAACAGTTCATATTTTTACATTCGCACACATGAAAAAAAAAAAAAAAAAAAAAGCTATCTGTATAGGAAACTCTCAAAAAAATATGAACATCGATAAAAAAAAAAAAAAAGTGCACACATATTTTGGAAAAAGCACGACAGAACAGTTTTGTACGCGGCTTGCGGGTAGACAAACATATGGGGGCCAAGAATGTTCGCCATCTCCCTTTTTAAAATTACACAGGAGAGTGGCAACCTTTCCGCATGTAGATCGAACAAGGGCACGTTTTATGGGAAGTCACCTCTCCATCAATTCGAAAAATATGGCACGGAAGCACAATATAACGTAATAGCAGCCCATTGAGGCCCATTTAGCCCATTTGGCCCATTTGACCCATTTAACCGAGGCTCACAGGCTTCGTAAAATATGTACTAACATTAGCATACACGTGGGTAGATATGCAAACAGGTATACTCAAGTATGCAGTTTCAAGGGCATCTACGCGTAGAGGCAAATGCCCGTGGTACATGCAAACGCAGCAGGGGTAAGGGCCCCTACGAAATTTTCCATCCTTTTTTTTTTTTTTTCCTGTACTTACCATTTTGCCGATCGAGTTTCAAAATTGGTTGGTTGATTTTCTCCTTAGAAGAATTAAGAATATGTACGGGGGAGCTTTTCCTATGCTTTATATATTTGTAGGGTAAAAAAATACCAAGTGATAATTTTGGGTAAATGTAATTTATATATGTTGTTCACGTAAAAGGGTTGAAACGAAAGAACTGTAACATTTAATTATTTCAACGCGTGCGTACCATTTGTTCCTGACATCACTTTATTTTTTTATCATTAAATGTATAAGCAAAATGGTGAACTGTTTTTTTGTTTTTTATTTTTTATTTATTTTTTTTTTCAATTTTAGAACGTTGGGGATGCTTTACAAAAACAGAGAATTGGTATGCTTATAAAAACTCTTAAACGGTATTTTTATTTAAAAACTGCGGCTACGGGTGAGAACGCTCTTTTTTTTTTTTCAAGTTCTCCACAAAAATGTTCGCCACCGATGCGGAATAAAATATATGTACAAATATGTTTTTGCTACGCAGTACGCACCTGTGGCCTTTTTGTTTTTTCCATTTTTTGCTATTTACACTATATAGGGGGCAAGTGCGTCATGCGACGGTCGGCTATCCCACCATTTGGCACCTCTTTTTGTTTTACCTTCTTTTTTTGTTTTAATTTATCCTTTGCAACGCATCTTTGCGAACATAGCAGCAGATATATTATTATGCGTGAATTTATTATACTAGCACAGGGTTTAGGGAAAAAAAGAGAATACGCACCCTCACGGGGCTACGACACGCCATACGTACACTTAAATCACTTCCGGCGTTGCTCAGGGGCCCACTGCGTTTGCAACGTGCTATACGTATGTAACCTTTATAAACCTTTGTGCCATTTGGCAAAGTGAAGCATAAATTCACAAATTAAAAGGGAGGAATAGGCGCCCAGTGGCGCTTGAATTTTTTGTATTGCGGAATCCATATACTGTGTTCTTCGCAAACCGCATAATATGCGGAAGGCACTGGGGCGATGCTTTAAAGCCGCCGAAGTGCCATCCGAAAAAAAGCGCTACGCGGAGAGAGGAAACGAAAGCATCAACGGATCAACGCTTTTTTCCCTCGACTCTTGCGAGAACACCGTTAAGTCCGTTCGCGTATGAAAAAAGGGGAACAAAAAAAAAAAAAATGTATATATATATATTTATTTTATTGTATAAATATATAGGATGAATATCTACCCTTTTCCAATACTTTTCTGCCAACCAGTCTTCACCATTTTGGCGTATTTTTCCAACAAGCACAAACGAAGCATTAATTTTGCGCTTGTGAAAAAGGTTAACAAAAATGTAGTGCTAATGCTGATCGCTGAAATACGAACTGTAGGAGTTCCCAAACGGGGGGGCACATCACCTCCGGTCTCTCATATGACCTCTTCTCAAGCGTCACAGAGGAAAGTCCCTTGTGTTGTGTCCACGTGTCAATGTTGAGGCGTGCTACACCCCATCAAATAGGGATACCTCACAGGAGAAATGTGTAAAGTTGTTCCAGCCTTCCCGCTTTAACGGATTAACGGCACGACAGGAAAAATAACAATCGGAAAATGGAAAACACACAAAATGATCATGTCACAGGATGTATCGTCGAATTAAAAAAATATCGTGCACATTTTTAAGTAAAGGTGTTCCTCTTAACATTTTTGCAAGGTGAATTATAATGTTATTTATTTATTTTTCCCCCCCTCTTTGTGACTCATTTGTGCGAATAATTTTTTTTTTTTTTTTTGTTCATTAAGCGCGCTGTAAATATTTAAAATGTTCGGCAACAAAAAGTTCCTTTCGCTGGGTTAATTTTTCTCCAATCAGAAAAAGTGACCATCACCATGTGTGTGCATTTAGCACATGCGTCCCAATTTCTGTTTCGTTGCTGTTTGTGTTAAAGTGGAGGAAAATAAAGGAACACAGTTATATATGTCCTCGTGCATATTTCCTCCCTAGAACATTCTGTCTTTATGTTTCCCATACCATTTTGATAAATCATCGCTTATGTTTTGGGCGGCGTTCACATGAGTGTGCATGTTGCTCTAAGCATAAACGATCACGTGCTTTAACATTCACTTTTCATCAGTACCGAATTGGCAGCTACGTATATTATTTGCTGATAGCTGAGCACGCGGGGGGAGGCCTGCAACAAAAAAAAAAAAAAGGTAACTTTTTGGAGGACACCGCTGCCCCCCCCACAAAATGATGCTCGACAACTCCAAGGAAATGCCAATAAATGAGGACATCGAAAAAGAAATATATGAATGCTTCTCCCTGTTTGATACAAACAAATGCGGTTACATTGACATTCGCGAATTTTACTTCGCCCTTAAGTCGCTTGGACTGAATTTCAAAAAAGAGGAAGTGAAGAATCTCTTCCTCCAAGTGAAGAAAAATATCGACGATAAATTAAATTTCGATGAATTTTTCGAAATCGCAACGAAACATATTCATAAGAGATATACTGAGGAGGAAATGGACAACATGTTTGCGCTCTTCGACCCGAATGACACAGGTTAGTCTTTTTTTTTTTTTTTTTTTTTCCCTATTGATGCGTGTATAAGTTGTGGTGCCGCAACGGGGCGTTTGCACACACAGTTGTAAAGAAAATGGAACCACTTTTACCTTTGCAGGAAAAATAACGCTAACTTCTTTGCGAAACGTTTGTACCGAAATAGGTAAGGAAATGAGCCTCTCGCTTGGTGACATTTGATTGGCTCACCGCCCATGGATGCGCTGACTGGGCTGTTCCTCAGGCGTCGCGTTGCCTCACCCTATGCGTGGTAACACCTATTTATTTTAACACACATGTGCACAGCCACCTACGCGGCATCCCGCCTTTTTCCCACCCCAAGGGGAACAAATCGATGACGCGGAACTGAACCACATGATCGAGTTTGCTGACAGAAACAACGACAAGGTTATCGACAAGGCGGAATTCAAGAGAGTCCTTCTAAGCGCATGGAAAAACGACCCCCTAAGTGATGTAGACTCGGATTAGTGTCCTCCCCCACACGAGTACATGCTTGTGGTCAATCTAGCCAAGCTGCGCAACGGTGATAAAAATAAAAAAAAATTAATGTAATTTAGCTTAATTTTTATTTAATTTACGTGTTCATCGGAATGCTCTACAGTTGATAATATGCTAAAATTTAATTTCACTTTTTTTTTTTTGTTCTATTTCGTTTCACTCCTTTTAACATTTAAAGATTAAATAAAAAAAGATGAAAAAAAAAAAAAAAAAAAAAATGCTTCACGAATGGACAGCAAAAATGGCTACATAATGGATAGCATAAATTCAAAATGTCACAAAAGCGGGGGAACATAAAACTAAACGTTAAAAAAAAAAAAAAAAACAAAGAAAGAAAGAAAAGAAAAAATCAAATCGAATCGCATTACAACGCGTGAGGGAAAGAGTTAATTGTCATTTATTGTACACTTTGTACGGTACACACATTGAGCTTTAAAAAAAAAAAAAAAAAAAAAAACTAGCATATACGAATGAAGGGGTTAAAAAAAAAAAAATGAGGGAAAGACGAATACAACTCTTTGGGGGCATGCACAAAACAGAAACATGAAAAGCGTACATAAAGCAGGTACACCGTTGGCACGACATAGGCACATGCGTGTGTCCCTATCCTTATACATATGCACTGCTGTTCGTACAGATGTGGTTAAAAAGAGGGGGGAGGGAAGCATCATCCGCTCAGGCCCCTGTCCGGGCCTCCGCCCAATCATCCGCTCTCGCTTTGACCCCGCCGCGCAGTCACTGATCCAGGTAGTAATTGAACGTGGAGCTGTTGTCTATGTTGAAGACTAAGCTGTCGACGGCGAAGGACTGGTAGTACTTCTCCTTCAGTATGGACGTGTAAAAGTGGACACTGGAGCCACTGTCCTGGCCGTACGAATCATTATTAGACACGAAGATGACGGTGTGGGACGCGGTGAGGAAAATGTAGCCATCTTCCGTGATGTGCATGTCTTCTTCCTTGGGCTGCTGAAATTTGGCTAGCAGTTTCGATTGAGGATATTTGCGCAAGAAATTATCGAGGACGTTTTTTTTAACAAAAAAGTAGTTCACAGAGGTTGCTATGGGACCAATCCTTTGGTTGGGGTCATCCAAGTTGAGCCATTCCTCAAATAGCCATTTTTCATTTTGCTTAGTGAGTCTATATATATGTGTCTTATTGTTCGTGACGTAGATATAGTTAAGTCTGTTACCACTGCTTTCTTCGAACGTTATAAATGAGACATGTTGGAAGTACTCATTTGATTCGTTCTTTTTCCTGAACACGTTGTAGCATTCATAGGATCCATCCGCCTTCTTAATGACACATCTGTTCACATAATTTTGTGCATCATCATTTCCAGTAATGTATACGATGACGCTATCTTCTGTACTGTTGTATGTGTCCATGCATAAACCAAAAGGTTTAGGAAGGCTGATGGTAAAGTTTTTTTTGTCCACATGGACATACACAGTGTTGTTCATGGGGTAAGTCAATACGTGAACATCCATATGGTTTTTATAATCAAATGCAATAAAATCTTTTAGTCCATCGAATAGGAAATTTCCATTATAATGATCATTGTATTCTTCAGATTTGTTCAAGACACTAACGTAATTATTTACTGCATCATAATAACACATGTCTTTGAATAATTTTTCCTTTCCTGAGCAGCTACTTGCAGAAGTAACATGGGGAGCTAATGCATACTGATTTGTGACATTTACAAAAGGAATTTTTGCCTCCTTTCCTGAACCCGTTTTTACATTTCTCAAATCAATAATTCCTTTATTAACAGTACAGTTGTAATTGTTAGTCCACAAAATCGTTAGCTTATATTTTGCGTCCTCTTCTTTTCGTATTTTTTCTTCCTTTTCTGTTTCACTGTCCATGGTAAGATTATTCGTGGTGGCAGAATCCAAATTTAAAAATTTCGCTTTATTATTGTTCAGTTCCTTTGTGATTGTTCCTCTTTCATATTCTTCCTCTTCACTTACCAGATGTACATCGTAGATGGAGAAGTATAAAGAGTTTATATCTTTACTGTACAGGTCCAACACAGTGTACATGTCAACTGAGTCATCTTTCTTTATGCTCATAAGGTAAAGCTTCCCTTCTGATGAGGGCTTATCATTTGTTACGTGTTTTACATTCACAATAAGGTAGGCCTTCTTACTATTTGCATCTTCCTGATCAGGCAACTCATTGACACTGAGGCCGATTATCTTGTCTCCATTCGTAAAAGTGTGTAACTTTTTAGCTTGCACAGAGTTATTGGTCCTGTTTAATGTTAATCTGAATACACTTTCTGCGTTCTCGGTTATGAACAAATTATTATCCATTACTGCTAATGCGTTGAGCACTCTTAACTGTTTTCCATTAACAGTTTCAATAACGTTAATCAGTTCTATATGATCATTTTGCTCATTATATTTCACATGCAGAATAAAATAATTGTGTTTAATTGCAGAAACGACAAAGAATTGATTCTCTTGTGAATCTGCAATGACACCTGTGAAAAACATTTCTTTGTTATTCATTATGTGAGCATGTTTTTGTGAAACCACATTCAACAGGGATATTTTTTTCTTCTTCAAATCTATTTTGTATATATCCACATCTGTGATCATTAGAATGAACCCATTATTTGCAGCTATTCCAACTATGTAAAATTTGTCAGGAAAATTTAACGCCATTAGATTCACATTATTTTTATATAGATGTAAAGAATTCTTGAATTCATGCTTAACAAAATAAATGGGCTTCTTCTTCCTTCCTGTGTTGTAATCCACTGCACTGTGAGGGATACAATGGACTGGGAAGTTTATCACTTTATTTATTTCTAAGCTAAATGTCTTTTCGTTTGGCACCACTCTTGCATTCACTAAACTGTTCAGCTGATTTGTTAGCACTAACTCTCCTGTGTGTTTGATGTTGTACTCATTTGTGCTCATTCCAAGGGGCACTGCCAGCCCCAGAAGAAGTAAAAGCAACAACACCGCCATTGTTGCGCGGGGTCAGTTCTCTGCAAAAACGCGGTTCAACCTGTTGGCGAGTTCTCTTCTCCACAGCAACAGTAGCAGCAGCAGCAGTAGCAGCAGTAGCCTTAGCTATACGCTGGGGAAAAAACGGAACCTCACGCGGTGGAAAATGTGTACATATGTACCTATATTTATCCTCGACCCCCCTGGGAGACGCCTTCAAAAGGAGCAATTCACGCGGTGAAGCGGTGCAGCGGCGAGACAAGGCAGGGCTCACTTCGGCCGTGACAGCGGGAAAAAAATTTGTGCAAAGTTTTCACCCAAGAGCCACAACAGGGAGTGAGCATGAGCACATCGATCGGCGCCGATTACGTCACTCCGCGAAATTTTGCCCAGCTTAAGGAGGAAAAAAAGACTACCGCGGCGAGGTATATATAAAATACAGCCCCAATACGCAGAAATCCTTCTAACACAAAATCAAAATTAAAAGGAAGAGAAGAGGGCACGCCTACATTCAAAAAAAAAAAAAAAAAAAAAAATTATGGTCCTCTTCGACGCGGATGCATGGCGGAAGGAGTCTCTCTGTCACTTTCGGCAGTAGGACCCTGTTTATATATATTAAAAAAAAAAACACAACAAAAGAAAATTTTTCCTTTGATGTACAAGTTAAACTCACGTAGGGAAGAAAAAAAAAAAAAGAAAGCGAAGGCCTCCCTTTGCTCTGTTCAACGGAGAGCTGTGAGCCTATAAATAACAAAAAAAAAAAAAAAAACACAGGAAAAAAAAAAATATAAATGTGGAAATAAGCAAATATATATATATTTATGTACATATAAATATACGTACATATGGAGCAACGTTGGTACTTTTGATCTTAATCAGCCTGCTTTGTACCCGCAAATGGTACTGCTCCACAGAGAGGGTATTTTATTTCCTACACGGCGAAGTGCAACATCGGGGGGGGACGTATAAATAGAGCGCACCAACCGAATGCGCACTTGTGTAGATGATGTTGAGGCAAACATTTCGCCACAATTTGTTTTTTTTTTTTTTTTTTTTTTTCAAGAGAGAGAGGCTTGGGCCAGCGAAACGTGGCATGAACGAACATTGATATGAACCCTTTGCGGGCCACAAAAAAAAAAAAAAAAAAGAAGTTATGTACTTCTACTGTTACAATATTTTAAGTTTTACCCCCGGTGACTGGTTTTCAGTTTATAAAAAACCACATGTGGCCTTTACACCGTTAGGTCAAAACGACCTGTGTGCGGTACAGTTCTTGTGCCTTAAAACAATCGCAAATAGTTTATAGAGGCAATGAAGCGCCCTTGATTTTGGTTCATGCCCTCAGTATGCAGAGATCGCATATTCACTGCGTTGGCATGAAAGCTGGGCTTTTTTGCACATAGGAGCAGCAGTAACAGAGAAGAAAGCAGGGGGCCGGTTTTTTTCTTTTCTTCCTACGCGACAAAAAAAAAAAAAAAAAAATTTATGTGCAGTCGAATTGTGCACATATGTACGTATATATACCACAATACATGTAATAGCGCAAGCATGTGTTATTATTCGCGCACACATGAACAAAATTGGCAAAAAAAAAAAAAAAAAATTCGCAGCGGAAGGCAGTGATTGACCAATTCTGTCACCTCAAATGGGGAGCGGTGAATCCACGGTAGAATTCACCTGTTCGTGTTGTATTTTTGTTGTGCGTAGGTTTATGCGGAACGCTGCCTTTTTTTCAATCCTTTCACATTTTATGCTGTGGTGACTTTACGGTTATTTTATGGAATTTTTTGTGCCCATTTTCTGCGTTCCTTTTTGGTCCCTTTTTTTTGTCCCTTTTTTTTTTTTTATCGCGTCGATTTGTACGAGCGTAGGCGATAATCTTTTGTTGACGCAGCGTCCCTTCTCGAAGGGGCCGGCCGTTAAAAGTCACCACGCGGAATGTACCCACCATCGCCCCGCACAACTTTACCATTGCTATGCAAAACTGGAAGAGGACGACCAGGTGAAGCAACCCATGTATGGGTTGAAGGGGTTGTGGAATTTTCTGCAGCCCAAATTGAATTTAAAAATTGTTCCCTCACCCCTTTTTGTAAATGAAAAGTTTGATTACACGAAAAAAGTTAGCACATGTATATATATGACACCCAGGGAGGAAACGGATTGTCATAGTGGTTGCCGAAGTGGTTGCGAAATTGCCTTATGGAGAGGGGGCGCAGAAACAGCTGCTTAATGCTGGGGGAGGAGGGTCCCATTAATCTGCCTTTAACGAAAGGTCCACGTGGAAGTATTGACGTGTTCATCTCTCCCTCGTCAAATTGGCCAAAAGCCACTCGGTTCAAATTATGTAACGTTGAAAGTACACCCAGTTGTTTCCCCCCCCCCTCTCGTGACACAAGCAGGGGGTACAGAATGAACCCTTTTTCTTTCTGTTTCGCACACCCCCTCTCCGCAGTGCTCCTTTTAAACCCCCGTTCATGTAATTTCACCTGTAAATTCCCTTTCCAACACATACCCAGTTGTGCGTTCAAGTGGGCCATTTTTTTTTTTTGGTAGCCATGCTGGTTAAACACAAAGCGTGATGTGCAGAGCGGCGCAAACACTTTGCAGCGGAAGGTTCATAAGCAGGTTGATCTAAAATGTTGTTCAAAAATAAAAGCCAACCACATTGCTGCTGTATGCGCAGGCATAGTGGGAGGGAAAAACTAAAGCTGTAAAATGTGGTTCTCCATTCATTGCTTCGATTAAGGAGCACACACAAAGGTGTGTTGTCCATAGGGGGGGATGCGATGGTGCAACATAATGTGAGGAATATCTTCCTCTGCCAACATTCCTACACTTGACAATGTTTACTTTTGTAAAAATGAATTATTCGCACATGGGTGGCTAGGCCGAATGACAACCTGGGTCATTGTCCCATGAAATCGCTTTACATTCCGGGGATGGGCAAACACGTACGCGCCATCCTTTCATCATCTGCTTAAAATGTGTGTCGCCGCCGCATACACATACAACTAACCGAAGGTACGTACATAAAAATGCGACGTGGGAATGTGGTCACCTTCTTCATGGAATTTTACTTGCGTGCCTAAATGATCATCACTCAGATGTGCTCCTTTTTCTCTTTACTAAATCGTTCGCACAGCGGGGGAAAAAAAAAATAAAAAAAAAAATAACAATAATGTCAATAATAATTTGAACATGTGCCCGCCGTGGCTTTGTATTCCCCCCGGTTGAAAAAACACCACTGAGCTGCTAACCCCCCGCCTCCAATCGTGGTGACGCTCCCAGCGTGCGCAGAAAAAAGAGCTTCCACGTCCAAACGGAGCTTCATATGTGTGATGAAGCGGCAAATTTTCGCTTTTAAGTAGGTTCCGTAGAGGGGCTACTTGGTTAGATGTGTTAGCCGCATGGGCAATCACACACGGTGATGAGTGTGGCGAACTGACCAACCCAACTAGTTAGTGATTTCCCCCTTCAGTGCGTCGCACAAAAAACAGGTTGTTACTTGCTCAGTCCGTAGAACCGCTTCACCTCGCCACTTATGCTATTCTCACCAAATTGAGGTAAAAAAAAAAAAAAAAGCAACCCATCCTGTACTCATTTACACCCACGGGTAACCATATAACAGTTTGCACGAATACAGAAAAAAAAAATAAGTAGGAACCCCCGAATGAACCATACTTGGGAGGTATACGCCTACTCACTCAACGTTTCCAACACACACCTGATCGTTGTCACAAAAGGGAGCAGCTGCACTGGGGTTGACACCACACTGCGTACCTTAGTCTGAGGATGACGCAGGGGGGCCGGAGCGAAGCCGCCCGCGAAGATATCCGCAGCTACATCCAAAAGGCGGGGGAAAAGAATCTGTACCGAATCAAAAAGGGGTTGGTCCCAAATATGAATGTAGAAGGACACATGTACGTGAATGAAAAATTAAAATATTTGATAGACGATGAGATAGAAACGTACCAGCTGAACAGAAACTCTACCTTCCTCCCGGCAGTTATTCAAATAGCAAATGTGTCGACCTTGCCAGGTATCGTAAGGGCCTCCATCGCCTTACCAGATGTACATGCAGGTTATGGATTCTCCATAGGAAATGTAGCCGCATTCGATATGAACAATGAAAAGGCAATTATTTCGCCAGGAGGTGTAGGATTTGATATAAATTGTGGTGTGAGGTTAATTAGAACAAATCTGTTTTACGAAGACATAAAGGATAAGCAGGAAGAATTAACACAACTTCTATTTAATAATATTCCAGTGGGAGTAGGATCACAGGGGTGTATATTATGTAATCAGGACAAACTAGATGAAGCGTTATGTTTAGGGATGGACTGGTGTGTTAAGGAAGGATACGCATGGGTAGAGGATAGGTTGAATTGTGAAGACAATGGAAGGAGTTTGTATGCAGATAGTAATTACGTTTCAATTAGGGCTAAGAAACGAGGGATAACACAGATGGGCACTTTAGGAGCTGGAAATCATTACGCAGAAATACAAGTGGTAGATGAAATATATGACGAAAGGAGTGCCAAGTTAATGGGTATAGAAAAAAGGAACCAAGTTTGTATAATGATTCATTCAGGTAGTAGAGGGTTGGGTCATCAGATCGCTACGGATGCTCTAATTGAGATGGAGAAAAGTATGAACAAGTATAAATTAGATGTAATCGATAAACAGCTAGCTTGTACTCCTATTCACTCCAAAGAAGGAGAAAATTATTTGAAGGCCATGGGTTCTGCTTGTAATTTTGCATGGATTAATAGATCCTCCATGACATTTTTAGCTAGACAGACATTTGCAAAAATTTTTAATCAGTCACCAGATGACCTAGACATGCATGTCATATATGATGTCTCACACAATATTGCAAAAATGGAAGATCATCTAGTCGATGGAAAAATTAAAAAATTGCTAGTTCATAGAAAGGGCTCTACCAGGGCCTTTCCTCCCTTCCACCCGGCTGTCCCTTTAGATTATCAGTACTGTGGCCAACCCATTCTTATTGGAGGAACCATGGGTACTTACTCTTACGTCCTAACTGGGACAGACAAAGCTATGGAGACCACTTTTGGGTCCACTTGTCATGGGGCTGGTCGTGCTTTAAGTAGAAATAAAAGTAGAAATACACTAAACTACGTTGACGTGTTGCAAAAAATGAAAGAGGAAAATATTTCCATTCGGGTTGCCTCCCCAAAGTTAATTATGGAGGAGGCACCCGAGTCCTACAAAAACGTCTCTGAGGTCGTCAACACGTGCCATGACGCGGGCATATCCGCCAAATGCTTTCGCCTCAAGCCCGTCGCGGTGATAAAGGGGTAGTCAAGCCATCGTAAAGGGGTAGCCGCGCCATCGTAAAGGGGTAGTCACGCCATCGTAAAGGGGTAG